TAGAATCTCAGAAATAATTTATAAATCAATTTAAATACTTTCTAATATCGAATATCAAACATTAATAAATAATTAAAAGCACAGGTGCTTTGTAATTTAAATTATTAAATAAATTGTGTATAATGCATTAAAATGGATCATTTACTCGCTGTGTTTGTTGATGATAAGATTGTTCATTGGCTCACCACTTTAGCTTATCTTTCTACATTACAGTGGATCTCGGTGGTACACTCCGTTCACCACCGATGTAAAGATAAAATTTTCCCCTTCTTTCTTATGCCTTGTCTATATAGGTTCTAAAGACTATTTGTATGATCTTGGATTTTGTGGTTTTCTCGTAAATCTTTGTCCATTCCTATCGGACAGAAATTTTCCACCAGTTGGCAGAATCTAAACTCCCATGAATAGATTTTATAAGTATTTTTTGATGACTAAATTTGTCTTTATGAATAGGAATTTTCTGGCAATTTTTTAAAAAATTATTAGGCGGAGCATTGTTATTGAACTACTTATTGTTGACATCCGCCTAAGCCGTCCAGAGTAAAATTGAGCAAATCTTTTATCCTACAAATTTATTAAATAGTTTATAGGAATGTTGAATGTTTCATCATATTTATTTATTTATCCCTCAAATGTATTTATTTCATTAGATACTATTTAATAAATATTTTTTAAAGTTTTTTTAAATTCGAATATCACTATCATTTTTGTATTTATTGCTGATTTCTTCAAATATTTATTTTTTCATCAGGAATATGCCAATGTATAGAATTTTTCCACATATTCGGATCATGTCCAAAGGTCGAGATTAATAAAAATGTTTTTATTTTTATTCTGAGCTCTGTTGATCAAATCTGATTCATATTTATTTTCCAAGTCCATCGTGGAATGTGAAGTATTACTGGTATTTTTTGATCGAAAAAATTATCCATTTTCGTTTAAATAAATTCTCATTTTCTAAGATTTCTTAAAATAAATCAATTTAAAAGAATTTTAAATAAAGATTTTTTATATGGTATTTTAATTTTACATTATGAAAATATTATTTACTTCTATTCAAATTATAAAAAGTATGTATTTGTTTGCCTATTATTATTTTCATATTTCGAAAAATTGTATAAACAATTTTCAAAAAAACAATTTTTATTTAAATTTGATAAAATAATTTAAATAATTTTTAATGCCTTAAAATATCATTCAAATTACTTTTAAATTTTATTTGCCGTTTATATTAATTCTTACTTTCTTAGATCTTTGGATGAATTAAAAGATTTTGTACTTTTTAAACAAAGAATTTTTGTAAAATTTTATATTTTAGATATCTTAAAGAAGGCTTTATTTGTTCCTTTTCAATGGTAACTTTTTCAAATTTTATAATAATTTAAATAATAATAATTTTATTCTAAACAATTTTTTTTCAAAGTTTTAATTCAAGAATTTAAAAACAAGGAAATTCGATGAAAGAATTAAAGGTGCAAAAAGATTAGCCGAAAATAAGTGGATTATTAGCCGAATAAAATTTAGAAAAAGAAACCTTTAAGGACATCATTGAAGGACATAAGGGAAGAATAAGATGGCTGTTGATTATTACCTTCGTATGACCTAAATTTTCATTTTTTTCGATGAATTTGTTAAAAGTAGTTCAACAATTTCTTCCTTCATTTGTAAAGTCCTTTCCGTAAATTTTTAATTTATTAATTTTATTTTGCGAGTAATTTCGAAGTTTTAAACGGTTGATGGTCGACGGATTTAATTTTTTCGCGAAGCAATTAAATTATTTCATTTTTTTAAATTTCAAATTAAAACAATCTGAAATGCAAAAAATTCCATTATAAACTTAATTTCTTTTCTTTGGTTCTGAAAGAAAATTTTCTGATCCCTTAATAAATCTCTTAATTTTCATCGTTTTTTTCGTAAATAATTACTTTTTTTCGTGTCATTTTTCTGGTTTTTAGAAGTTATTTTTGTGTTCATAAAAAATGTCCTTGCAAAATAACCAATGAATTATTTATTATTCGCTGCTTATTTTTCATCAGTCGTTAAGTTAGTAAAAAAAAGACTGCGAAACAATTCCGATGAAAAAAAATTTCAGAAATGCAATGAAATTCAGTTTATTGTTATCATTTGCCGTTTTATTTCAAAATATTTTTGCGAATGTATTTGAAATCGAACAAAATGAACAACAAAAATATGCTTTTCGGAATGCCGTTAAAGAATTACTAAATTTTGAGCAAATACCTCGAGAATTCGGTTGTTTCTTATGCATTTAAATAATTTTAACTAAAAACTATGGAAATTTTCCGTAAATTTACGATAAACCAATCATTTAAATTAATAGTCGAAACCTGGCAATCTGGAGGACTCTCATAGTTCCATTATTGAATGATCAATGTTTTAAAAATTTTCAGAGGGCACCACTCATTATGTTGCAAGGCAAAACAATGCTGCATCAAGATATATGCAAAGGTTATTCGATGAATTTAAAAAAAATAATCAAATAAATTATGACGAAAGCAATATTGTAAGAAGCGTTAATCCAGTTAAAGGTTAATATATTTTTTGTCGAAATCCTCTGCACAAATAGACCATTGAAATAACTCGCAGTGATATAAAAAAGATTTATCTTTCAGATAATTTATTTAAATTTATATTTATTTATTTAAATTTATTTAAATTTAAATTAAAACTAAAATTGATTAATAAACTTAAATATTTATTTGAATGGCCTTTGTGGTCGCTTCATGAAGAAGTTTATTATAGATTAATAAAAAGTCAAACCTTACAGCAATAAAGTTTTTTTTGATAAGAAATCATCCATTTAGCCATTAATCCTTATCAATAACTAATTAAATTAGTGAATTAGATTTGAATTATTTTGTTTGTAATAATTAATAAAAGCAAAAAAAATAAAGGAAATTTTTTAATTTTTTAGCTCACTTTTAAATTGTGCATTTTATTTAAAATTTAATTTCAAATATTTACAAAAGGTTTTCGTAAATTTCTGCGTAAAAATTTTAAATTAAAACCAAAAAAATCAAAAAAAAAGCCAAAATGAATAAACTGATGGAAGATTTTCGTCTTAAGAAAAAATCTAAATGATTAAAAAGAATTACTGGTCATTTTAATATAATTTATTTATTAATTTATAGAAATAAGTTTGGCCTATATTTTGAAAATTTTATCGTCAGATTTTGTTACTATTGTAGTTCTTACTTACTTTTCGAATGTTTGGCAATTTTTAATATCAAAAAATGTCGCTATAACCGTAGGTTGAATGATGTGGCTTTACTTAGATTATCAATTCAAGCAACATGTGCTCGCGGTAAAGAAAGACAACTCGGGCTTTGCTCTGTACTTTACTCATTTGTGGTTCTATACTTTAGTGACTTTATGGTGAAAGAGCCTTATCTAAATAGCCAGTGAAGCGAGCCTTACCAGAAGTGTTGGGAAAAAATCCATTAGGTTTATGACAGTATCTCGAAAAGTGAAGTTGCAATGGTAATGGTAACGGTCAGGAAAATAATTATGGGATATTTTAAAATTCAAAAAAGAGGAAATGAAATAAAAAATTGTGAAGCCAACTGAAGAAAGTGTACAGAAGACCAATAAAAATTTGTACTTAAAATAAAAAATATGGTATTTCAGGATATCAAGGTGATCCTCACACTGTAGCTTTTAAATTGGATATGATCAGTTCTTATGAAAAGGTAAGGAAAATTTATAATTTACACGGTGGAAAGTTTTTTATCGACGCAGAATGAAAAGTTTGCTTGATAATTCCAAGTATATGAGATTATAAAATTTACTGCAGATAATTCGCGCTGAAGTTCATTATTACAATGATTATTATAATAAACGATACAAAAAATGGGTGATTTATGAAATTTGTGATTATTGTGATGCAAATGAGAAACAGAAAACGCTTGAATTATTATCATCGGCCGAAAACTGGGTTGTTTATAATGCAACAGAAAGCATTCTTAAATTGAGAAATATAAAGTCTTCTTATTTCAAAATTCAGGTAAAAATTACATTGAAGCTAAGGTGGAATTCAATATTTTTGAAATTTTTTGCTTTTCTTTTCAAAATCTCGACATAGTTTACTTTATTTAAGCATTTTCGAATTTAACTTCTACGGAATGAAATTTTAGTTCCTTAAAAATGGTCGGATAATCAAACGTCGCGATATTATCAAAAGGAATAAACCATTCCTTTTGATATTTTCTCGAACTTTTTCAAATTTCACTCAATCGAAAATATTTTATCCAACAACTATACCATTAAAATATGAAAAAAGAAATGATAAAAAGCATAACAATGAAAAGAATAGCGATGACAATTACGACGATAAAAAGCGTAAAATTTTTATTTTTATAAAATATTTTTTCACATCCCTTCCTTTTTTACGATTTTTTTGTTCCATTTAGAGAAAATTTTTTTAATGATTTTTTGGGCCTTTTTAAGTGGAATTTTAAGCGAAATTAAGTGGGAAAATTAGTAAAATTATTATTAGTGTTTTCGAGTAAAACAGATTTTTTCAATTGTCATATATTGACGATTTTTCGCTAATTTTTAAGTTTTTTTTTCATCAAATCATTAAATTTTAAAAGGTTCGATTGGTGAAAAGAATTTTCAATTTCTTCGTGCTTTAATGCAAATTCTTCGAGGCTTATACCACATTCTACGCGGTCTAATTCACTTATTTCCAGGTTCACTAAATTAGGTTCCTCCCGTTAATAATTATGTTTCTATCAAATTTTTTAAAATTTTCATCAGAGTGACTAAATATGTCGCTCCGCCATTTTATCACAGTATTTTTTAATAATTTTTTTTCAAAATAATGCATATATATTTAATGATTTTTTCTCTTTTTTTTCTTTTTGTATGAAATATAGCTTTCAAAACGATTTTTTAAATTTTTTGCGAAATATTTTAAATCTTTAAATAATGATAATGATGGCTAATGATGATAATAATGATAATGAATAGAAACAGAACTTTTCAATATTTCGCTAACTTATCTCATTTATAAACAAAAAGGAGTCTTAGAAACTTAGAAACTTAATAAAAGGCTTCGAAGTGATTTGTCACATCATAATTATTCAGTACAATTATAAGTTTTAAATTTTTTCTACTAATAATTCCTCGAATTTAGTTTAATGCCGAGAAATAGATAGATAGATATATATTTATTATTAGTTTATTAGTTTAATAATTTTTTTAAAGCTTTGAAGCTCGCAATGTGCATTTATATTTAATACGTAATGTGCAAAAAAATTTACATTTTAATAAATTGCATAAATAATTTTAAAATATTTAGAAGATGATAGTAGTAATCAACGGCAAAAACGATCGTCCGATTATTATATTTATTCGGAAAATGGTAGAGATTTGAACAAAGAAGCTCACCTTCATACGCACATAGAAAGATTTAAAAATATTGGCCCTAAAGCGTTACAGTATCGAAAAAAGGTTTATATTTTTCGTGGCCAAATACTGCACTTACCAACATTTTCATAAAATCTAGGAAAAAGCAAAACTTATTTCATTAGAAATTCTATTAATTTTCTTTGCTTTCGAAACAATTTCTCTAATTTTATGTGAAAAAATCTTTTAAAGATTAAACTAATTCTATTAGAAAATTAATATCTTTCATTTGATTTATTGCCAAATATTTTTGCAAATATTTTGTATAAAATTAGATAAAAATAGATATTTAGAATGGTAAAAAACATATACGACGTCAGAAAATGCGAAGCCTAACTAATGATCCAATGATGGGTTTTGGAAAAGAATACAATAATTTTAAAAAATCTTTTAAAACAGAACCGTCGAGAAAAGATGACGTTTCCGTTGTTTTACTAAATCGTGAACAAGAATCCGTTGAGGTTAATTACATTCCATTTTAATGCATATTTTTGCCACCATGAAAAGTGAAACTTTTGTGAAACTTATTTTTAAACGAATCGGTTAATTAAGACATGCGCAAAAAGGAACTTGGTGGTACGGTTTAGCGATATTGGTTGGCAAAATTGGATTATAGCGCCGACAACATTTGAAGCGCATTACTGCAGTGGATTATGCACATTTCCCCTTCAGAAGGTTTGCTTTCCTCCTATAATTAACGAAAAGTTTGAATGTTTGAGTAAGTGAATAGTTAGTAGGCGATAACTACATTAAAGTAAGTAAGTGCATGAAGTAACCTTCGTCTAAAAGCAATTTCTGGTTTGTATTTGTATTTAGTACAATTTCATTCCGCGCTTTCCTTCCATTGTCATGCTACATATTAAAGATTATGATATTTTTAGAAGAATTTGCTAAATAATTTGGGGTCAACAGGCCTCGAAGATCAGAACTTTAGATTGTATCGTTGTCTGGTGGAGCATTTCCAAAAATACGATAGCAGCTGGCCATGTTTATCTAATTTTCATCTAATTAACTAAAAGAAAATTTGCAGAAGATGAATCCATCAAATCACGCAATTGTTCAATCAGTGATGCATGCAACTGATGTTAATAGAAGAATACCAGCTGTCAGTTGTGCTCCTGAAAGAATGGATTCGCTAACTCTGTTATATTACGATGAAGTGGAAAATGTTGTGTTGAAAACCTATCCAAATATGATTGTCTCGTCTTGTTCATGCTTGTAAAGGAATTCTATTATAGCAAAGAAAATCGTTCAAAAAAAATTGAGAAGGAAAATAAATGATTAGCAATAAATCATTGGCAAATGTCATTAGGTAACGATCGCCTCTGAGACGATAATATTTGCATTCGTTATAAAATTTCTTATTGATGCACTTATGCTTTTTAAAGAAATTTTTAGAAAATCAAAATTTTTAGCATTTTTTCCACAAAATTTTTTCAAAAATAAAAAAAATTAATTATATGTTGAAAGAAAAGCTAAACTAACTTGTAAATTTTATTCTTTTTGATGAATTTTTATTTTATATTTTTTTAAAATTTTGTAAATATGGAATTTTAACAATTAATCTGCTGTCATCTATTAATCGTATTTTCGCTTGAATTCATGAAATAGTAATTACCAAATAATTTTCTGAGATTGATTTTTCAATTATTTACTTATAAATAAATTCCTTGAAGTACCAGAGTTCTTATAATTTTTGTAAAATCGTTAATTATTTTAATAAAAGTAAAAAAAATCAGAGTTTTAATGAAAAAATGGAAGAAAATGCGCTGTTGGGTGTATAATAAACAAAACAAAAAACCGGGTGATGCTGGCAACTCACCTGTATTTCTATCGCCAAGGGCATATCGCCCAATGCGATAAGCCAGTGGAGCGAGTTTAACCAGCAGTGGTGAGGATTCTTTAAAAAAAATCTTTAGAGTTTAGAAATTGAATTCCCTAAAGTTAAAAGTTAAAAATTTTCAAAAGAAATTTATCGTCATTTTTAAAAAATTTCTTTAAAATACTTTTAACGCTATAAAGTAATTTATTTTCAATTTGAAAACCTAATTTATCAAAACCTAATTTATCAAAGATTTCTTAAAATTTGTAAGAATAGAAAAACTCAATTTTAAATATTTGAAATATTTTAGTCAAATAATATTTCATAATATTTCATAATTTTGAGTTAATGAGTTCAATTTTATATGATTTCGAAGATAATTTTTGGAAGAATTTAGATCATAAAAGCAAGGAAATTCTTTCAAAAAAATTTTTTGAAATTCAGTGATTAATTTAGAAATCATGGAAAAAATATTTTTGGCCATTCTTTTTTCTCGAACAGCATTATTCGGCTCGTTCCACTGAGTCCATAAATGACATTCTTTCTTCACCTAATGCTTGGGAATAGAAATGCTAATGGCCAGCGGTATCCGATCGTTCCCCTGAATAATGGATTTTCCAGATCTCCGTCGAAAATATGATAACGGTCTATTCTAAACTTTGTAAATTTACGACTTCTGTAAATGAATTATCGAGAATTGCAAACACAAAATGCATGGTTGCCGAAACAATGAACCCTTTTTTGTTGAAAAAGAAATTTCGACAAATTTTTTAAATCTAAAAAAAGAATGAAAAAATTATTCATTTAATCAAAATCTTCTTTGAAATATCTATCAATCTGAAATGTTTAAAAAATTTCACCCAAGGGAAACATTCTCCATTTTTGGAAGCATTCCTATAGTTTTTCAATTGACTTAGTGTCAATTTAATAATATTTAAAAAAAGATAAATCATAAAAATAAGATTTGCACGTTTTGAATATGCAAAATTTAAATAGCAATGGAAAAAATATTTTTTTTAACAAAAAGATTTTAGATTTTCAAAATTTAAAAGGAAATTTATTTATTTTTAATTCAATCAACAATTTTGTAAACACTTTTTAAAATTTACATTTAAAAAAAAATCGCACTGGCAGAAATTCATGCAATGATCGCTTCGGTTATTCGGCTACACCATGCATAAGCACCATGCAATTTTATCTTCTCTTCCTTAAATTTTCGAATTTCGCAAACTCACCACTTATTAATTCGCAAAATTAATATTTTATCCATGAAATTTTTATATATTCAATCAAAATTATCTGACTTCGGTACCGTGAAAATGCCGTGACAAGATGTTTAGCAAAGGAAACAAAATTTTTAAAGGTTACCGAAATCTTCTACACGTTTCTACACGTTTAAACCATTTGTTTTGCTTCATTAGGTTCCTCAAGTCGGACGAGGTGACGACTAATATTAACTAATATTGGCCAAGAGTTGTCATTTTATTTCACTTTTCAATTTTCCAGCTCTTTTATTTTTATTTCAATAAAATTATATCTTTTTTCAAATTAAGTGATTTTTTTAAAATAATAATAATAGAAATATATTATATGACAATAAATTCTTCAACAATAATATTTTTCTTTTTATCCAAATTTCTTTTTGGATATTTCCTTAGAAATTTTTGTTAAAAAATGACTTCATCTATTTTGGAATTTCACTTTTCATTTTAAGTGTACCATGAAAAATGCTGAGAAGCTTAGGCCTAAGGCAAATCATAGGTAATCACATTATTTTTATTTTTCGGAATCGCTATAATTATATAAAAAAAATGAAATCAAGAGATCAGCCTTACAACCGATTTATTGTAATTTCAACCACCAAATTGGAAAAATTAATCAGAATTGCTTGTTCTTAATAAAATAGAATAAGGAAAATCTTCTCTTACAACATAATTCGACAAATATCGCTATAAAAATATTAAAAAATATTTAAAAAATAATAAAATGCACAACAACTGATATGTCTACACTGATATGCTAATAGATATTTATTTATCTATACAAGATATTTATTTATTTATTTATCTATACAATATATATTAATATATATTAATGACAATAATTAATTAGTAATTCATATAATAACTCGCAAATGGTCTTTAAGAAAAACGTATTTGAAAATATATAAAAACTGAAATGGAAAAATTTTTATTAACTTTCACTATAAAAATGAATGAAAAAGCACATTACAAATCCATTTATTCATACCTAAAAGATGGTAGAAAGACGTTTAAATCGATATGCTACGAGAAATCCCTCAAAAAACGGATCAGAAAATGAAAAGAGATTTATAAAAATAAAAAGTTATATTAGAATCAATTACTTGCAAAATAAAAATGATATACAAATAATATTACCATAAAAGCGACATTTCGATATCACAGACTTGTAAATTTTTATGCTATTTAAAACAAATGATTACAAAATAAAACAAAGATATATAAATATATATATAATCATAAGTGCACCAACACATATCATCACATAATCTAAAACGTACCTCATCAAAGAGATGAAAATAAATTCTATTTTACTGCTCAATACAATCTCGTAAACTGCCATTTGATAACAGCACTGATTTGAGTTCATCATCTACTGACTGCAGTATGGTAGTAAGCTGAAATTGCAAACGATTTCTAGCTTCAAGCGCAGGTTCTTTCAGGTCACGAAGACGATCGCTTATTTTCAAAATCAAATCCACAATTTCAACTTGATGACGACCTTTTAGAGCATCTGGAGAGAAATCAGCATTAGAAAGAACCTGAAAAAATATAGCTATGTGTCAATAGCAAAAATGTCAGTCATAAATATTAATAATAAAGATATCAGCAAAATACTTTTCATGGGATTTCATGGCACTCACTATAAAATAATTGGTTTTGAAATATACGGGCAAAAAAATTAATAAGCTTAATAAATCAAAATAAAAGAAGATAAAAAAGTATGAAGTCGCAAATGATGAAAATGAGATAAAAATTAAAAATCTCTTCATAATTACCTCTAAATGAGCAGCTTTAAGTTGACGATCCACATCTTTTCGCCTATAACGTAACCATCCTTCGAAATTTTTTGATGATAAAAATTTCCTATATAACCCTAAAAAATAAATGTTTGTATCTTTTGAGGTTTATCTCAATTTTATTTCATCAACCATTTGCTCCAAGATTTTTTAGTTCATATTAATATTTTTTCATTTCTCCCTTAAATATAAAAAACGTTAGATACGTCTTTATTTAATGAATATAATATCGCAAAAATATACCATTCCAATCCCCTTTAATACCACATGTAACTGAAGTACTAGCTTCATCCAAAGTCGATAAGAATTCATCGACAATGAATGGTCGAGCTTGCGGCACTGCCTCAAAAAATAAAAAATAAGGATAAAAAATATAAAAAGTTATAAGCTCGAGCTTAACATTATGAGACGACCATGACCTACTGTCAAACTTTTATTTGAAATATCACACCCACCTTGAAAGGTGATATCTGTTTTCTCAATGGCATCAAAGTGGAGATATATCGTTCAAGAGGCATCATAAATATATGAGTGAGCTCAAGCATATGCCGCCTTAAAATTTTGTTTTGCATACCACCGAATTTGTCGCATTTAAGTATATTTTTAACCAAAGCTTTATCACTATTTAAAAACGTTTTGTACTGAGTATAAAGCCCTGGTTTAGAATCCGCAATCCGCCCATCTCTAAGCTTCCTATAATATAAAAAATAATTAACGGTGCCAATGAACAGAAGGAAAAATTGAAATAAATGATGAACTGTGAAGAATTACCTTGCAATACCTTCTGTACTAACAGATTGATGACTTCCATTTCCCACGCGAATAACATGGGGCCAATGTTGAAGAATCTTGGAAAAAAAAGGATTTGTCACCCCCAAGATCACTTTTGGACTGAAAATATTTGAGCCAAACTATAAAGAATCAATAAATCATCAAATAAATCATATTTATTTTTCGCCAAATAATACGCTTAAAAAATAAAAATAGATAGATTTCTCCGCAAAAACAATACGCAAGAAAAAACAAAAAAAAACAAACTTATGCTTCAAAATTTTTTTTTTATTCAACTTTTTTTTTAATGTAAAACTTGATTTTAATTTTTCAATCAATAATTTGGTGGCCATAAAATGATCAATAAAATAATCTAAAATAAGGACAGAAACCTCTTAAACTGCATTTGAATCTCAGCTTAATTATGATGAATTATCCAACATCTCTGAGCATGACTGGAACATATTTGGAACCATAAGCTTACAACTGTAAATCACCAATCGACTACGAAATAATCTCAGTAATTCGCAAGTTTAAGGCGAATAAAAAAACCCTCCGGAGATGATCAGCGAACTGAATTCTTCAAATACTGCTGTTAAATTCATTTATATGGGAAAAGCAACGATGTGACTGGAATATAGCACTTTTTTCCCAATTCCCAAGAAATATAGGACTAGAAATATAGAAATATAGTGACAACAATCGCGGCTTGTTAGATATTTCTAGGCAATTTTCTAATAACCATTGCTGAATACGATAATAAGTGAAAGAATAGGAAACAACCAAGCCAAATTCAGGCCAAAGTGATAGTGCTTAGATTTTCACGTTGAGTAAAGTATTCGTTTCAAATGAAAACATGGTTTATCGACTTTAGCTGTTTTTGATCGATAGCGCAGAGCTTTGGCAAGACAAACAACATAATGGTATTTTATAGAAGACTTTAAGTCTTAATAAAGTATTCCATGCGGGCACGTCAAAGCAGGTTTGTAAGTATGGAAATTAATAGAATCTTTCAAAATAAAGGCTAATGTGGGTCAAGGTTGTGTTCTCTCTTCTACAGTTTTCAACTACGCGACTGAGTTATAGACATCGCTTGTCTGCATATACAAATCCAGAGTACTACAGGTGCCTTGAAAGCTAAAAGAAAATCGTTTTATTTGCCAGAATACGACCACAATTTGTATAGATTTATCAATGACTCAAAAAGTATTGGACTTAAACTCGGATTAATTTTCATATCAAAATAGCCAGGTGAAAAATGTGCCCTTTTTCAGCTGTTAAGCTCACTTAGAATTACGGAATAATTGGCCCAAAAATTTAGCTACAGTACACACAATCGTAATATACGACTGCAGTTGCCTATGAGTCTAGAAGACATCAGGAATTTATATATCTTTGACCATCTTTGCTTAAGGTGCACTTTTCGTACTCACCAAATTGACGGAAAATCACACACTAGTCAACTTTTTTTTGAATAGCATTAAGAATAGCATTTAAAATTATTAAGAATATTGCCCCACGAAGCGCTCCACTATATGCTTTGTAATCGACCAGGAATTTACGAATCTTGTGATAGATAGCGCCAAAAGCGAGCAGGGCCAACAAAAACCTGGACTGATAAGGTCAGGAGAAATTAAATGACTCAGAGATATAAATTAAGTAAAAAAGGAGTGGCTTTATTTATTATTTTCAGGAATCTTATCGAAACTCTTGGAAATCTTATTCTCACCAGTCAAGAAAGTGGAAACTGCAACGGTATTAGAACAAAAAAAAGCATAAAACAAAAAGAAAATAATTTTACTCACGGATTCTGCTTTTTTGATGCATATTCCCTGAATTCAGAATCATGGATAGTGAAAAATGGTCGGTAATCATTAAAATACCTGCAATATATAGATTTGGAGAAATAAATTATTACACATTGCTTTTTTCATATCAAATGTTTAAATACTTAAAAGCACCGTTACATATCATTGAAGTCGCAGATCGTTAATCACTACGAGAAAATTTATTTGAAAAAATAACTTTATGACTTGAATTCAATTACTAAATTAAATTTAATTAAATTTAATAAAAATTTAAAATTTAATAAATTTAATTTAATAAAAAATTAGAAATTTTAAAGGCGATTTCTGAGAAAGATCAATAAAACTGTCAGAATATATTTTAGAATAAAAACTTCAGAAATATATGTGAATATTCTAATGTTTAAGAATTAATAATGGAAAGATTTTCTTCAGCACCCACTTCTGATTTGACTTACTATTAGGACGAAATCTCTTCCATATAAAGTCATTTCTGAAATTTCTGAATTCACAGTACCATCTCGATAGTCGATCTATTCTTGCGAAAATAAAGGAACTTAATGACTTAACTGAAGTAATATCCCACCATCAAGTCCTTACAAAAATATTTAATTTATAATTAATATATATACGCATTTTTATATATTAACAAAAAAATCTATCACTTCAACCAAAATAAAAACTAACTAAGCAAAAAAATGATCACCTTAATGGCCATATTAGTGACACTAAGGCTTGGACTGTGGATGAACATGTCAAAGGATTAGCAGCCATGACAATTATGGGCTAAAATCACAATTAATTAATTAATTAAAAGCAAAATATGGAAAATAAGGTTCGTGGAATCCATTATTAAATCAGATATTAAATTAATATATTTGAATTTAAAAAATTTCACCTCACCAAGTAACACCAATTCCCACAGCAGTTGGATATAATTCAGCATACATTGCAGGTTACTAAATTCACAATATAAAACCTTTTATTTGCACAAATTTTTTTTTTAAAAAAAGAAAATACAAGAAAAAAAAAGATTATATACTATAGTAGAATGAGATATGAACATACACGAAAAGATTTGGTTCATTTGCTGAAGATAGAATTATATTCTCTTGATTTTGATTATCAACCTTTTGCTGAAATGAAATGATTTGAATTTAAAATTAATTAAGCAATAAAAAAATCAACTGAAACCTCATCAATTTTTTGCTTCTGCATAAAAGGCAAATCATTTTTGCAAGGAATTCTGCATTGAATAACACGGCCCAATAGTGGAAGATAAAGCAATTCACCAGGAACTGGAGCTCTCCAATGGTCGATGTCATGACAAGCTAAAAAATATTGAAATTAAAAGTCGCAAAAATAATAATCTGCAAATATTTCAGCGTATCAAATGAAAAACAAACAAAGCAAACCTGCTTCAATAGCTGGCTCACCAGACTCGAAAAAATTATTAGCGATTGCATCAATTATATAAGAAAATAAATTGAAAAGTGGTAAAAGTGAAATTATTACAAGACTCTGCAAATAAATAAAGATTTTAAGGATGATTAATTAACGCAAAAAAACAATTAATCAATTTTTCAAGAATCAATTTTTCAGATTTTGCAATTCGGTAACAAACTATTAATCTTTAATTAATTAAATAAGATTCAGCAACTGAGTAAGAAACATTACAATTACCTTTTGATAATAACCACGAGGCAATGAAGCGTCTTTTTGTTGCCTAGAAGCAATAAAATAATGATAAATAATAAATAAATAATAAATAATAAATAAATAAATAATAAATAATAATAAATAAATAAATAATAAATAATAAAGCTTTTTTTAAATTGCAATTTTTTTAAATTTTAAATCTTTTAATTCAGGCAATTTACAACAACAATTTGGAACGACAAATTAAATTAATTTATAGACTACAAATTATAATTTGTAGTTTATAAATCATAATTACTTTAATCTTGTTTTTACAGCTTAATAAATTTTGTTCCAAAAACTTTCCATCCTGAATAAAGGAATAAAAAATCGTACCAACGAAGTATATCAAATAAACAAACAAACAAACCGAAAATGAACAAAGCCAAAAAAATGAATAGAATCAATTTGTGCAGCTGGAGGTACATTTTCAGAATAATTGGTCTGGACCTCATTTAATTGAAAGGATGATCGTCGTATCCGGAAATGAAACTTTGTATCTCGCGTGCAACAACTGTTCGAATCCGGAAACGCTAAGTAACATATATTCATTTTCTCTGCGGCTGATAATTGCGCATCACCTGGATACACGACCTTAAACAATAATTTTTAGAAATTAGTTGATTCTTCTTTCCGATTAAAAAATTACCTCGATTGCTTGGCCCAACTCAAGATCAAAAGTAACAACACATATGCAATGTATCCATCGACTAAACCGTTCCCATGGAGGTGATTCACCATTTTCATCCATTTCAGTAAAACCTAAAATATTAATTAGAATATTAATTTTGACTTATCAAGAAATTATCGAAGTTTGGGAAAAAAAAGAAATAATTTTTAATCACAGAAAACGAATAAAGTCTTTAACTTTTTTTTTTAAAAAAAGGAGAACTGCTCGTATTCTCCTTACTCCTCTCCTCCTCAACGTAATATTTACATTTTGCCAGCCAATTCCGGGTGCTTTATCGATTCAGTGTTAAACTTTGCTAGTCCATTATAGGATTATCAGTTATAGGCACTTTGATGGCCCATTACTAAATGAGTTCATCATAAGCGCGTTCTTAATCCAATACTATATAGCCCATTACCAAATTATGTAAAACAATGTGAATGCAAAAAACCAACTTTCCGTAAAAATTTTCAATAAAATCATAGTCAACAACTCAACAATTAATCATTATTTGAAATGGGGGCTTTTCAAGGGAACTATTTTTCCTATTTAGAAAACAACACAAAAAAGAGATGAATTGAAAATAAGAAAGTTAAATAAACACATATAAAATATAAAATAAAAGAAATTCGAAGAAAAAAGACAAATTCCACGGATTTTTCCCTTGATGGAGGTTTCAAACCTTCGTCCTGCGAAATGGAACTACTATTGCCTCCTCCACTCCCCGCAACCAACCCACCCCCAGAGCAAATATGCCACCAATGCAGCGATCCAATGATTAAATATGTTTTACGAAAGAGATGCAGGCATAAATTCCACGACTTGCGTCACGCAATCGCATTCGCTTGTTCCATTAACCCGCCCACATTATTATATTTCGCTACTTTAATTGGAAATTTAAAATTAAAGATAAATATTTGTCCTCAATAATTAATTAGCAATTAAAATTATAATATTTCACTTCAAATTCAGCAAAAAAGAAAGAATTGCCGTAGTTGCGAGCATTCGACTACGAATTCTTTGCTTAAATAATAGATTTTTTTAAAATTTAATCTCTAAAAATTATGTAAAAATGGAAAAATTGCAAAAAAAATTCAAATAATTGGCAGTTCTTATTTCTTCAATTAGTTGAATTTGTTTTCTTAATTAATTAATTATTCGTTTAAATTTAAATCGAAGTCGAAAGAATACGAAAGAATAATAATTGAAATATCTCTGTTAAATTATTATTAAAACTAATTTTTGCAAAAAAAGTGTTCCGATAAAAATTTAAGTTTGAAAAGTTTTTTTTGGCAAATAAAAATTCAACTCGAAATAAAATTAATAATTTGCGTTTGTCTTATCTTATTTAATCTTTTAACAAAGCTAATGATAAATGATAAATCGCTGTTAAAATTTCGCCAAATTTTGGATTTTAGTTTTTCAGATTTTAGATTAAAAAAGTACTGAAACTGCGAATCGCACGAATTGAGAAAGTGAAATCTCATAAGAAAAAAATAAATTTATAAACTGCAATAATTGCTATAGTACAGCGAAAACTTTTCTGAATAATTTGCAAACTACGACAGCAAATTGTTTCAGTTTCAGCATTTGCTAGCGAATAACGGCAAAGGTTAACTGGAAAAGGTCCTTTTGAGTTGTCGCAAATTTTGTCGCAAGGATAAACGCAAGCAAAGATGAAGTGAACTGTTCGATAAGAAAAGAAAACTGGGCGATTGCATTTAATTATTGTTTGCGAAATTATTTGACTGAGTTGAGTCGCATCGATTTCCCCTTCCTCTTAAATGCACCATTAATTATTTAAAATTACTGAATCTTCTTGTAGATCGGATAAATTTAACTGATAAGCGATAACTGACTGATAAGCGACTCCATGAAAATGTTCTTTTCAGTTGAAATATCGACTCATTTATTGTTTTAGTAAAATTTATCTTCGCAATTAGTGTATCGCTTCTGATAAATTTTGGAAAATATTTGCAAAAAATCCGATAAAAAAATTTGCGAAGTTGTTAGGTGAAAGTTGCGCGAAAGTTGCGAGAATAAACAAAGAATTGTAAAATTGGAATATGTGACGGAGAATAAATTATGTGCATTACGCAGTCAACGATTTAGGTTACTGAGAGACTTTGAAAATCGTTTCATTTTAACGGAAATTCGTTCTTACGATTCTTATAAGTTTCTTATAAATTCGCAAAGAAGAAAGAATGAGAATGAGATTTATTTTTGTAATAAATTTGCATAAATAAACAGCAAAATGTAAAATTATAATTTTATTTTATTTCTCTTTTTAAAAAGCCATTTAATAATTTTGTTAAATTTTGTCAACAAATCACTTGGCGATAGAACTACAGATGGGCTGCCAGCATCGCCGGATTTTTGAAGGATAGGTTTACTCTTACAGCGCGTAGAATCCGGGCTCAGAACTGAGCAACAACCCACTAAGCCATCTCATCTCCTGCCTTCGCTCTTCAGCAGTATTGCCACCCGACAAAACGTGCGTCATCCAGAGTCGAGCTCGAGCCCTTCCGATGACAATTCTTTTGCCACGAAGCCACCAATATACAATGATAAACATTTCGTTTAATTTTATTTGCCATAGTTTTCAAGTGAATTCTTTGCTATTTAAAATAAAAATAAAGTAAGCAAATAATTAGCGCTCACCAACTTTGATTTGGTTCACTTCACTGTTTATTACTACATTAACAAATTTCTTAGTGCACTTGTCGGCAGAAATGGGTCCTCAGTGTTCCGATTTTCTAATGGTAGATTTATTCGTGCCGAAGATAAAATTCCCGTTGCAGCAGCAATCGCTCCTCAGCTGCATTCGTATTATTCTTTTAGATCCACGAAGCTAAATTTTTCAATGAGCGAAGTTTTTTAGAAAATTTTTAAGGATTTTTTAAAAAATCTATTTTTCAGCCTATTTTCTTCGAATTCTATTGATAAAATATAAATATTAGTGATAGTTATTTCGAATAAAATTATCAATAATTACCATAATAAAAATGCCCTCTCTTTAACTGTAATTTATTTAAATTTATAAATTATAATTTTTAATAAAAATAGTAAACGTATTAATCAATCGAATCGATTTTATCGCTTAAATATCAATCTATTCACGTTTATTGTTTATTTTTGTCGCATCGATACAACAATGTTTGACAACCTTTTCGACTCATTTTTGAAATTCTCCTTTTTTTTTACTTTTGAATAACAAAATAAAAATAATCATTGTTACCAATAAATTTTCCATATATTTAATCAAGAAAATTAGAAAATTTTTGTAAAATTTATTGAATAGGAAATTGCTTGTTTTTTGCGCATTCATTGTCAATTATTTTGCAGATCTTTTGCAAAAATTTATATACTTAATTTGCCCTTAAAGTTAATAGAAATATTGCTTCGGATGAGTTCCCTCACAGATTCGATTCCTACTGCTTTACGTTAATCAGTCAATTAGTCACTGAAAAGCGAAATCTCTGTTCGCCTGATTATCTAAAAATAAAAGTGATGAATTCAATGAGACAAGTTTTTTAGAAAATTTTCGAGGATTTTTTTAAAATCTTTTTATCTTTAAATCTTTTTTTCAGCCTGTTTTCTTCGAATACTATTGATAAAATATAAATATATCAATGATTAGTTCTACTATAACAATTAAAAAAATTAAGGTTAAGATTATTTTAAAATTTTATTTTGAAAATGGCAAATAAAAGTTTTTTCTTGTAAGAAACAATCTTTTGCAAGTGAAAAAAATTTTTTTTTCCATTAAAAAATTTTTTAGTGGAAAAAATTCAGAATGAATTCAAAAATTTTTTTTTCTTTCGAATTTAAAGCAATTTTCAATTTAATTGCAAAATACGTTTTAATTTATATTAATTTAAATTTGTGCTTTTATTTGTAACTTATGTTATATTAAAATTTATACTAATCACTGGTAATAATTCTGGTAAAATGGTGTTAAAATTTGAGAAAAGATATTCTTTATTCGAATTTTTTTGGTGCTATTCTGGCACTTTTTGCAACTTTGAGTGACATTCGTAAGTCTCTACAGGAAATCCGCAGATGGGGAGAAATTCAGGATTAACTTTTGATATATTTCAGTTTTACTATTTCTTTCAAATATAAAAACAACATTGGTTAGCAACAGAAGTTACAAATATCTTTCACATTGCCTTCTTTCTCATATTCTTTTGCATTTTGTTTCATGAAAAACATTGATCGACAAAATCCAGGAAGAAATCTGCAGGCCTTAGTAAAGAATCCACCAGCTGCAAGAAGAGGGTCGGAGGTTCGATGAAGAGCTTTGAAGGCCTCGTTGCATCCGTGACAAAAAACGTTTATTTCGTAATAATTAACAGCGGGAAAATCAACTGCCCCAGAGAATTCTATTGGTTCCAGAGACTCTGAGCGTCGGACAATAAAAAAACTCGACTAGTTGACGCTGCTTGGCCTAGGCCCGATGTCTGCTGGAACAGTTGGAAACTTTTGACGTGAAATTAGTTACCTGGCGATGGAAATAAAGTCGCTAGCAGTACCCGAGTAATGATAGGCTCCGATCTGCTTGAAAAACGGAGGACCGAAATCTCTCTTCCGCAAAATACTTAGACTATGGAGCACCTTAAGTCATCCGGTAATTCCCAAGCAAAAAAAAATTTTTCATAAGAGCAAACTATAAACTACAAATTTTTGGCACCCTGCCAAAAGTAATCATTTTTTTATATTTTTTAAAATCTTATTTTTAGAAATGTACTGAATTTGGTTAAAAATTGCCCAGTTTTCTGAAGTCTTTTCTAAGATTTCTTCTTTTCTAAATGCTTTCAATATTTTTTTGCGATTTGTGAAAATCTATCTCATTTTAAAATTAAATCTAAATGAATTCACTTTTTACGATTTAATTGTTTTAATTCGGTTATTCAAATTCAAATACATTATTTAATTTATTAATTAATTACTAATATTACTAATATTATTAGTATTATTGCTATCATTATTATTACCGTTATTACTATTATTACTATTATTATTATTATTATTATTATTATTATTATTATTACTATTATTATTATTATTGTTACTATTATTATTACTATTATTATTATTATTATTGTTACTATTATTATTACTATTATTACTATTATTGTTACTATTATTATTACTATTATTATTATTATTGTTACTATTATTATTACTATTATTATTATTATGCCACATTATTTAATCGAATTTAATGTATTTTTCGATCTTTTCGTATTTATTTAAATGAATATTAAGCTGTTAAATGCTTTTTACAGTTTTCGTATGAAAATAAGGAATATTTATGCGGAAATTGAATGAGAGAACGTCGACAGCAACGGCGACGGCGAGTGTTAAAGAAATCCGTGAACGACTTGAACGTTCAGCTGCAGCTCAGTCATTAGGAATTAACAAATGTTTTATAAAAAATAGTTTCGTTTTTTCTTATTTTTTATTTTTTTCTTAATTTTATTTTTATAAATTTTTTCGATTTGCAACAAATATTTTGTAGTTTTCTATTAGCAGATATAGTTTCTTATTAATTTGAAAAAAATATCTAATTATTTTTCGAAAAAAAATTTTCGACTTTTTAAAAGTCGTCTTTATTCGAGTAGAATTTATTATTACAACGCTATGCATTCGTATATCAAAAATATTGGATTGTTGAATTCATGAAATTTTTTTTGCAATTTAATTTTTTTGTCGTTTTTTTGGAACAATTATCCGATATAAAAAAATATTTTTTCCAATTTTTTTCTCAATATTTTGAAAAAAATTCGACTCAAATTTTGTGAAATTTTGTGAAGTTTTCTTGACAAATGAAGCAGATTTATTTTATTTTTATTAGATTTTATAAATTATCTAATTTTTTAAATTATTGCAAATTTTTTTCTTCTGTTCTTTGTAAAAAGTTTTTAAAGGCTTCAATGATAATTATTTAGAAGCGAGTGGAAATAATTCGGAGGATCATACTGATTCATTATGTATTGATCAAAAGCAATCAATTTTACGAAAAATTAACAGACCTCCAATAGCACCAAAGCCACTTAATGTAAACCTTTTTCTTTTTACTTAAAATGCAAAATCTAAAAATATTTCGATAACGCCATTGAGTAATGCTTAATAATTATTTATTGTTTATGTTTTGTTCACTAATTTTTCAGAACAAATGTGAATATAATTTCGTGTGGAATATGATTTTGCAGATAAAGTCAACATCTCACGAAATCCCTTCGCAAATTCCTAATACTATTATTCAAAATGACATTGGATTCGCTGCTTATGAACTTGATTCTGCATGTTGTAGTAACATTCCTTGTGCTTCTACGGAAAATTCATCCTCTTGCAGCAATCAGTACATTTCAATATTACATAATTACTATGTTAAATCTCAGGAATTAATTTTTAATTTATAAATATAGAATTTCAAATTTAAAAATAGAAAGCTTCACATTTTCAAAATATTCTTTTCTTTTTGAATGTTCTTTTGCACACCAAATTAATTTCATTTTATTTTTAAATATTTCTTTCATAGAAAGACAGACAGAAAGACAGATATTTATGAGCCAAATGATGGACGATCAATGAATGTAAAGGATGTCGTGGCTCGTTTCGATAAAGTTATATTAAATAATTTTGTTGTTAGATCGAATCAATTTCGATTTAGTGCTGGCCAGTTAACTGTACCTTCACTTGATGAGCAAAGGTTATCAAAACTTTTGTATATCACACGTACCTTATTAATATTAATATTAAATTTCTAGCTCATAAGTAATTATGGTTTTAAACGATTTCATATTTTTGTAGTCTATTTTTCCGGGAATACCTATCATTTTTCGTTATTTGTTCTTCAGCTTTTGCTAAATTCTTTGAACTTATTATCTTTGATTTGTTTTTTTATTTCTACTTTATGAAATCTTTTAGATCGTTTTCATTTTAGTTTATCAAGGATATCTTCTGTTGATTCGTGGAGTGATCAAAAGAATGCTTCAGATTCAGATACAGATACAATTAGTCTTGAAGAATTCGTTGAGTTACCTTTAAACAGACGTGTTTCTGAATTGGGTGATGAAGTTCTTAATCAATCAGTTAAAAATTCTTTTAATACGAAACAGTTTAGTATTAGTATTATACATCTTTTCTACTAGCTCATATTTGTTTTTTTGCTTCATTCTCCTTTATTTATATTGTTTATATTCTTTATTATTTTTCATTTATTTCGAGAATTTCGAAAAATTCTCATTCAAGGATTTCTTTTTTATCTTTAATCCCAATAATGTTAGTGATTTTCGTAAGTTCTTTAATTTTTTTTATTTATTCTATTTCATTATTTTGTTCTTTCGCTTTTCTTTGGTTCATTGTCTTTGAAATTAAAAATATTTAACTTTTATTTTAAAAAAAATATAAGTGCGATTGTTTTTTGTAGAATTAATTTTTTTCAGGTCTTTAAAAAAGGCGTCAGTTTTTGGTAATGAACAAGTACACTTTTCAGCAATTGAAGAGTTAAAGAAAAAAGAATTTTTCCGTGCAAATCAATTTAGGTATTTATTTTTATACTTTCTTTTTTTTCACAATTTTCTTTATGATTATTCGTTTCAGGAAGTCTACTAGTGCTTTGCAAAATGAATCGTTTCTTCCTTCAGATATCGGACAAATACGAAATCATTCAGCCAAGCAGGTGATATCTATTTAAATTAGGAGTATGATTTTTTAGGCCCATTAGTAGAAATCACTGGGTAAATCACCGAATACTTATTTGCTTCATGAAATTTCATCATTATTTTTTTCTTTGTCTATCAGTAATGGCCAGCCCTCGTTCAGTGATATTAGATTTAGATATACGATGATTTTTACGAATCATTTTTACGATAATTATTTGTTGAGGTCAAATATACCAGATTAAAGATTAATTAATCTAATTAGTTAACTAATTGAATAAATTAAAATGATAAAAGTAAAACAACAAAAGGCCACATTTTCAAAATTATATTATGTCCAGTAATATTGTTTTTACTATTTGAAGAATAGAAGCGCAATAAGTGATCCACTTAACAGCAAGGATTCAAAAAACAAAATAAATTTGCGTCATCACAGTGAAAATGATGAAAGGCTTAGCAATGCAAGTGCGATTAGCGGAATGAGTATGATGACAATGAATCTATCTGATTCGCAGTACGATTATATAAATTACTGGGATGCCAATCCTGAAGAGGTATTACGATTATATTTCGATGTGGTGGCCATTCTTCCTATTTTCATAATTTTTTTTATCTATATTTTTTATTCGTAATTGTTGTCTTTTTTATAATTGTTGTCTTTATTGCTACCATCTAATTGGTAGCAATGACTCTTATCATTGCGATTTTGATGAGAGTATGGTGTGTAATTATGTTTATTTAATGTTGACTTTCTATAAGCAATCGGCACCAATTTTTTATATGTGTTAATGCCTTTGACACGTTATATTTTTAGGAAAAGCGACTAAAAAAACTTCATTATGCCGCAAAGGAAATATATACTGTTGAAATGAAGTTTGTCGCTCAATTAGAAATCATTGCTGAGGTTTTTTTTATTGAAATTTTAATTCCATTATTATACCATAATCAATTATTCAGAATTATTATTTAGAAGGTATTCCTAAGGCTAAAGGAAAAATTCTCTTACTCCTTTAATTTGTTAATCTGTTAATCAGTCAGAGCTCCTTTGTTCTTTTTTTTTTATATTTTACAGGAATATCCAAAGTTTTTGATTCATTATGGCGAACAACTAGGTGTGGATCTTTTACCGACGCAGTCATCAGGACAACCACATATCATTCGACAAATCGCCATTCAATTGTCAATGATAAAGGAAGCGCATAAAGTTCTTCTAGAAAAATTTGCGGCAAAAATGTCAATATGGTGAAATCCAATTTTTTAACCTTTCTTCTTTTGAACAGCTTAAGATTGGATCATGGCTGTGATTAGATCAAATATTTCTGTTCCAAGAATTGATTTTTAAATTTCGCTTCTATCAGTGAGATTTTTTTAACATCCAGTAGTCAAATTTTGTTTGATTCAAACCCGCCTTCAACTTTTTTGAAGTTCAGTTTGCCAAATCTGATTCTTTTATGCATATCTTACCTTGTCTTTGACATCTCTGATCAGGAAAATCACTCTTACCTGGAGCAGTGAGCAAGATTTTGCTTTTCAAATAATTGCGGAATTTAAGGAATTCTCGCTCCCCCGACATGGCTGAATGCTTGAAAAATGGGGCTCCTTTCTTAAAATATTGTTTGCCTTACTTGAAAGAAAAAAAACGATTTGTCGATGAACTGTTAAAACAACTGCAAGAAAACGAACTATTATCGAAAGCAACCACCAAAGTGTGCCTCACTTTTTGATATCCGATATTATATTGATATTAGTTTTTCTTAGCCATAATTCGCTATTGTCTGTATTAAAAGTAATATTAGATGAGTATGTTAGGTAAATATAAATTTAGAATATTATCATGCTATCTTTTTTATGTTATGAAGGCAAGAAAATATTATTTGTAGTTGTGTAAGTTGTATAATTTTCTAAGTATAAAATAATATTATACTTTTTCTCAAGTTTGAAGAACTATGTTCTTCGAAAATCTCTGTGGTGCAACAGTTGGACATTGTTCATCAAAATGTCGTTCGGTACAATATATTATTAGATGCTTATAAAAAATATTTGCCAGCTGATTCAAGAGAAAAATTGGAGTGCGAAGGTAACTTCATCAACGATTTGACTTGAAATCTAATTTTTCTTGAAGATCTTGATTAATATCCATTCTGATATTCCAACATCTTTTTAGATGCGATTGTTGAACTTTCGAAGATATCAGAATTAGTCAATCATCAAATAAGTTTAGCTGAAATGGAAAAAAGGCTGATAAATATATATAGACGTCTAGAAGTAATTTTATAGTTTTTTTATTGTTAATCTCTTTTTTTATTGTTAATCTTGTTAATCTGGAATATTCAAATTTTTTAGGAAGAATCACTTAAATCATTTAAAACTTTTTCATTTTCCTCTTTCTATTCTTTCTTTTTACTTGAGTTATGCACAACAAATCATAAAATTTATTTTTATTCCCACAGTTCTTTTCTATCGAAAGAAAAGCCCTTAAAACCTTTCGTATTGTACTTTCATCAATAATAAGGGATTATAATCAATTGATTATTCTTAAATAATTAAGGTGAAATATTCCGTTATCAATTCATTGTTAACATATAGAATACTTAAGGGAAAATTCAATGTTTTTGAAGCAAATCGACATTTACTTCATGAAGGCGAACTTATGAAACAATCAAGGAAAGATTTACAACCTCGCTATCTCATCTTGGTTTCTTTTTTTTAATAGGGTTTTCCTTATTTATTGAAATTGAGCGAAGTGGTGTGCTTTTTATCTAAAAGTGTAAATCGTCCATCGTCTAATATCTAATATTCAACGTCTAATATTTTAGCGTTTTTTTCTTCAGATAAAAAATTTGAAGTATTAACCAAAAAGAGAGATTTATTAAGGAATGAACAAAAATCTTATTTAAAAAATCGAAAAAGTCAGTCTTATTTTTATTTTTATTTTCACAAGGATATTTCAGTTCTCAGATGTGCTGCTTATTTGTAAATATCCTCGAACGCCAAATTTAGTTTCCGAGATTTTTCAACCAGATTTTTATCGTTTTAATATAGCTCGTATACGAGTTAAAGCTGAAGAGCATGGTGAATATGAGACTCACTTTCAATTGCTAACCACTGAAAAAAGTGCTGTTTTCATTGCCAAGTAAGTTTGCCTTTTATTTATTTGGGCTAATAATAGAGTCGCTTAAATTTTGAAAATTGGGTTAAAGAATCTGATATTCTTCTTTATGCAGTATATTAATTGCTGAATTTGAGTTTGATGTTTTATCAGGACAAAGAGAGAGCGAGACGAATGGGTAAAAAGATTGAACCAAGCCAAAACTGAAGCAAAAAAACTTCGAAAAATGAATCGTTATGCAAAAGTAATGGGAAGTTCAATTAATTTTTTAATAAAAAGGTTATATTCAAGGTTGATCTCTGTTTTGCATTAAATATTCTTCAAGCTTTTTAGAACAATTATTAAGAAACGATTTTTTAAAATTTAATCTGCAATTTTATTTGTTCACTGTTTTAGCTGTCAGATGTTCGAATTTTTCATAAAGGAGATAAATTGGTTGGTAAAAAAAATATTGAACCAAGAACAGCTGAAAAAGATACGTCTGATAATGAGACTTCGCCAACTTATGTTCCCGTGAAAGAAAAATATATGGCACTTTGGATACCGGACCCTAAAGCTACTTCATGCATGATGTCCGGATGCACTACAAAATTCAATGTCTTTAACAGGCGGCATCACTGTCGTGAATGCGGCTGGGTTTATATTTTTGCTTTTCATTTTTTAATTTTCATTTTTGTTATCTAATTATTTGATTCAAAAATGTTGGAACCTTTATTTATCCATTGATCTCTTGATTAGCAAGACTTTTTTAAAAGTCATGGCTATTCGCATTTTTGTGTATTTTGTTTTTTCAGAACAAATTTTATGTTTTTTTCGTTTTGGTTTTGTTTTCATTTTCATCTTAATCAATTCAAAATCTAAACGAGGCAGTTTTAGTTAATATGCCATTCTTGTGTTGGTTATGCTCCAGTGAAGAATGGGTCTAATTTTATTAAAGGAAAAGTTTGTCCCGAATGCTTCACTAAAATCGATGGAACATGTGAACTTTCACTCTTTTTTATAGTAATTCGCTGGAATATTTTTTGATTTCATATAAGAGTTATGTTATAAATTAAATTTGGCTTGGAATTAGCGGTTAAAAATCAATTTTTCAAAATATTTTATAATTGATTATCATCCGCTATGTAATTGCAGGGGAGGGTGATCGTTCTTCTGGACTTTTTCTTCCACCTCCAGGAGGATATCGTGAAAAAACAATAATACGCGGTCGAGATGAAGATGGAACTGTATCTGGAACTGTTTACATTAGGTTTCATATTATATTTTTTTATTCGCCATAAGCCTTCTCCTGTTATATTTATAATTTTTGATTTAAATTTTGATTTTTTAACCGAAATTCTTAATTCAGGCCTTGATTTTTTAAATAAGAAATTTGATAAATCGTTTGTTTATTTTTTTTGAAGTTTTCATGTCTTTTATTTAAATATTTCATTTTTTGCCTGTTTATAACGCACTTAAACTTTTTCTGCAGGAATAAGCGGCTCGGTGAAATTGAAAAATGGGGTCGTCTTATTCGTCATGACGATGGAGCCACGGTCCTTTATTTCTTTGATGCTGAATTTGTTAGTATTTTTTTTGTAATTGCGAATATTTTAAACTTCGTCTGCCATAGTAACTCTAAAATCAAGAAATCAATAAGTGATAATTCATGTTAATTTTGCGACCCTGAAAACGATAATTATTCTATGCATTGCTTATTGATTTTTAAGAATAGAAATGTGTATAGGATTCCAAACCATTTGCGCGACATGTTTTGTTGGGTTTTGAATTGACAGTAAATGAATTGGAGGAAGGAGGACGGCTTTTTGAACTTCATCATCATAATCAAATGTTGGGACAGTCTCTGTCGATAGTATTTCGAGTTGCTCATTCCGGAAATGCAGAAAAGTAAAATAGTTGACGCTGATTTTTTTTTGTTTGAAGAAGTTTTCATTTATTTCATTTATTTTTTCCATTTAAATATATTATGTTGAATGTATAATATATAAAAGCGAAAAATATTTTGTTAAAAAAAATCTTTTTTAGTTTTCACCTTTTTTTCACAAATTTCAGATGGAATCGTGCATTGATCGAAGGTGTTAAGGCTTTCGAATCATTTAATTTGAACTGTGATCAAAGCAATTTTTCTTCTTAGTGATATTAATGGGTCTCCAATTGTATATCTAACATTTTGCGATTTTGTTTGAAAATATATTTCATCAATGGACTGTGGAGCATTTACTGAAATGTTTATTTTTGTTTAAATTGGTTGTTTGGCTCGTGCTTAGCGCTCATTATTTCTGGTTATTCCCTATTTTTGTTATTCCCTTTCGATCAGTTTTCTTATTAGCGTTAAATGGGTCTCCAGGTCATCTTTGATTTTTAAAGATGGTTTTACTTTGCTCACTTTACTTCTTTTTGTGGAGAAACATTTCGTCGTATTGATAGAAGGTTGAATAGGTCCCCAATGGTTTTTTGACGATGGTTTTACGCCTGCCAGAAGTAGCTTTAAGTTTATACTGAGAGTATTTCATAATATTGAGTAATTTAAATTCGTAAGCAGCATTTGAATGAAAATAATATAAGTGGGAAAACGATTATTTAAATTTTTTTTTGTGAAGTTTTTTGATCCATGAATAATTGTTCAACATAATATATATTTTGATATATTTGTTCTGGCTTAATTTTATGGTTATATTTTTAAGTTTTCAGATTTTATATTATATTAGATTAGATTATATTAGAAATTTTATTTTTATATTTGGCTCATTTTTGCCCTTATATTCGTTTTATAGGAAGGAGCGTATTTTTCAAGTCAAACCGCTTCATAAATCGTAATGAGTGAATGCAGATTTTACTTTTTATTAGCTCTTACAACTGAAGAAAAGGAGCAATGTCATTTAATAAACGATATCTAATTGAACAGTAAATTAAGTTATTACTTTATTGGTACTATATTGGTTGGTTGTAAGTGGTTGCTTATGAAAACCAATATCGCATAAACATTGGAGGTAAATGGTGATTATACACGAAACCTATATTGAAGGATTTTTTAGCAAAAGTTGATGACGAAAAGTGGATTCGAATGATTGAAAATATATTAGAAATATTACGAATAATGAGTATATCATTCATTGGTCAATCCGAAAATTTTAATTAATCGAAAGTTTCTTAAAAAGCTATGGGGTTTATTAATTTTTATCATAAATATGTAAATGATAAAGGAAAAAATCCAATTGTTTCATCATCGCGCTTGTTAATTTGTGGAATGATATAACCGTATTACTGCAGCAATTTGTCCCCTAAAATTTTTATTTTCACTTAGAACGTTAAAAAGTTTTTTAAGTTAATAATTAATTAGTAATATGACTGGATGAGCAAAATTTCGTAAGCAAATTTAATAACTATAAGCAGCAGTCACCATTTCTTATTTGAGTTGCTCTGCTGATTTCGAGTCACTTTGGAATGGAAGTGAGCTCCCCAGTATCACCTGGATTTCACCGCTAATTACAAGTTCACTCTTGTCAAATTGCATGGATGAAACCCGTGGTGATTGATCTCAGCCGAAGCAATACAACATTTAGCCATTTTATTTCTAATAGCCATAATTTTTTAATTGTAGAAAATGAAATTCTTTTCATAAAATTTATTTTTTTGAAAAGATTTTTAAATTTTTAAAAAAGAAATGAGTTCATTACAATTTTGTTTTCTAAACAAATAAATAAAAAAGTTTTTTTTGACAATTAATTTGCTAAAAATCGGAACAAAATAGATTTAACTAACTTTTTGTAAATTTGGTGTTGTTTTGTTAACAAACTGGAAATAAGTGTTATCACTTCTAGCCATTATTATATCTTCGGGTGACACTGGTATAAATCTGGTATGAATGATAATCAGATCAGATTATTTCTTTTAAGTCAGCCCGCCTCCCCAATCCCCGCATTAATTCAATTTAGCTCCCTTTTTTCCCCTCTAATGTTTATATTTGAACTGATCGATATTAGATGGCAAACATTCCACCTCTATAAAATTCATGGTGGTGTTTCCAATTTTTCATAATTAACAAACCTCAATCGTCCTTTATTGTCCCTTGCTTCCTTTATTTTTATTTTCGCCTTTCTAAAACATTCCGTTATTCGCGTATCTTCAAATCCTTCATCGCCTTCCGAACATTCGCTGTATTTCTAAGTATAAATATAACTTTTTTTTCTTTAAGAGTCCGCACCATTACTGGTTAAACTCGCTCCACTAACTTGCCAGGGAGTCCCTTGGCGATACAAACACAGGTGAGTCGCCAGCATCACCCGGATTTTTGTACAGGTTTACTCCTGCGGGAACCGAACCTCAGCATCGGTGCTCTCAATCGAGCGACAACCCACTGAGCCATTCTATCCCCAAATTCAATTTTTAATGATAAACAAAAGATAAAATAGAACAAAATAAAAAATAGACAAATAGATAAAATAGACAATAAAAATGTAAATAGAGTAATAATTTTAATAAAAATATTTGATAAAAATAAATATTTGATAGTTCTGAAAAAATAATAAAGAAGAATTCGTTCTTACATTTCTTTTAAAAAAAATAAAACATTTTAGAAGGAAATTTTTCAAGCTAAATTCATTTTTGACGGATTTTTTTCATAATTTTGCTTTTTTATCATTCTCACCATTGCTTTTTCGACAAAAAGTTCGACAGCTTTTCGAGTGAAGACATATCCGGCTCCTCCACTTACATAGGACTGATGTGGTTGATGGATTTTGTATCCATAAATTGCTGCTTCTGTTTTATCTTTTTTCGCCAAAAAATTTCTAAAAGCTTTTACGGTGATCAGGATTTTTTAAAACAACTTAATAATTTTATGAAAGTCGCCGTTTCTATTGCATATACATGTACATGAAATGAAGAGCATATACAATGTATAGCACACGTGGCAACGAATTTCAACAATCATTCAATGCTACGTACGTTTATATATACGCATAGGTCCTCTTTTATATGAAATGGCTAAGCGAAATTCCGGCCCGAATACAACTGACCAAGTTAATTCATCTGACTAAGCTTCTGTAGGGCTGTCGCGAAATCATCTTTAAAATTCGGAAGGTCCACAGCTTATATGGCCGCAAAATATGACCAACAAGAGTTGAAGGTAACAAAAATCGGTTTTTGATCACTTTAGCCTAAGAAAAAGTTTATACGCCCATCGGGCAGAAATCTAGAATATCATTTGATTGCGCCATCTTGGCTAAAATTCCATCTGCATTAATGGTAGTATCACAGAATATCTCCTAAACTGGTTAAGCCATACCCATACCGAACTCACAGAAAAAACTGCCGTATATTTATTATGCCAACCAAGATTTAGAGTGGTACGGTCAGAGGAAGCTTTGGACCATAAGGACCTAAATGGTGAAAAACAAAGTGGCTTCTCTTATTCTCAGATATATTATCGGATTAGATAACTTGAACTGCCTTTAACGAGCTTAGTTATAATTAGTAATAAATAATAACAAATCAAGGAGAATCTTTTTCTCCGAGTAGGCATAAATTAAACTTTTCTTTTCTTTAATTGACAATAAAATTCGGCTTTAGGACAATTTTTTAAAAGACGAAGACCTATGATTACCTTAGATTGCCAATAATAAAATAAGCATCTGTATCACCCTTTAGAAACCAGTCATAATCCTTTCGATAGTTATTGTAAATGTGTACCAATGCATTTTTTGTCTTGCCCCACAAGAAATCCTCACCTTCCGTCGCATTCACATCAATTACAGGCAGTTGTGGATCTTTATTAGAGCCGATAAATATATGTCTAAAAATTAATTAAGCAAGTTAAGAAAAAAAGAAAAAAGAATAAGAATCTTTGAATAGTATAAATTAAATAAAAAGAATTTATTAAACCACAAAATTAATTAAATGATTGTTGGAACCAAATTTTTACTTATATTATGCAACTCAAAAATGAAAAGTTTGCAAATTGCTGGAACATACTTATCGCAGCGCTTTGCCCATGTTTCTTGCACTGTATGTGCCAAGTCATTTACCTGCTTGTTTACTGGGATCCAACAAAATATTTTTGCTTTTTCGTTATTAACTAAAAATATGGAGAATGGGATAATCAAAAATAAAGGCCTTCATTACTGATTATGATTTCCTTCGATTATTGCTTGTTGGCATGAATCTATTAAATCTTTTTGTTGTCTTAAACAATTTATAGATGTTTTTCGAATAAGAGCAATACGGTATGATTTTTGTTGGTCAATCTCCTTCAAGTGAACACAATGTTTGGCAATAATCTTTTATGAATAAATGAAAAGGTTCATAATTACTTAACTGCCTTTCTATAAATGTTACCTCGATCTGAATTCAAACACGATAGGTTCAATTTCTCTTCGTACTTTGATGGAATCATACTTATAAAAGTAAAAGTGGAATCTGGGAACATAGAGTCTACTGCTATGCTACCAAATGCTCATTCTGGTTTTTACTGCGATTAGTGTTGAATTTAAAAAAACCTCCATTGCCAGCACTTTCAAATTTCATCATAGCACTTGCTTGAAAAAAGGAAATCGTTACAGAATAATTATATAGCATATGCACGCAAAATCCGGTGACAATTCCAGTCAAAAAAGCAAAAAAATATCTTTTTCGATCAGAATTATTATCTACAACATATACATCTTTGATGATTGGCATTGCTTCTATAATTAAGCAAATCTTTATTTATAGATTGATATAGATTGATTATAGATTGTTTTTAAGAACTAATAAAAGTAATATAAATGGCACGCAGGATGTTAAGAACATCAAGGGGTTTAAGGGATTTCAGGAAGATTTAAAATAATGCTACTAATGGATTTTGAACGTTGCCTGAAGGGATTTTTTAACGTTGTGATAAATCTTAAAGGAAAGTTTTACTGAAAGTTTCGGTTTTCAAAAAGATAATAAAATTTTGCCTGAAAACGCAATACACTCTCATTAGCTGATGCTATAAATTATTGTTTAGATTAATGCATGAATTAGCGAAAAATTTTAAATCGAAAAGTTTTATTCATTATAAGTTGCTTAGTTAAATTAATCCACAGATAATTTCCCTCATCATAGCACTTGCGAATCTAACTAACATTGCTTGAAAAAAAGAAATCGTTTTAGAATAATTATACAACATATGCACGCAAAATCCAGTGGCAATTCCTTCTGTACTCAATACGAAAGCAGTTAACCATACAATAAATTAGCACCAATTTGAAAGCCAATGTTTTGTGATAAGAATCGGTGGTCGACAGAGCTATGCAAACGTTTGTCGGTTTGCTGGAAAAATTTATCACATGTTCATTCATTCATAAATATATATATATATAACTGAATCAGTTCAGTTTACATTAGCATTGATTTTCAATAACTGAACTAATTTTAGCAAAATGTAAATAGTAATAAAGTCCACAGTTTGAGATAGAATGGTTCAGTGGGTTGTTGCTCGATTGGGAACGCCGATGCTGAGGTTCGCAGGAGTAAACCTGTCCAAAAATTCGGGTGCTGCTGGCCACTCACCTGTATTTCTGTATTCCAAGAGATTCCCTGGCATATTGCTCAATGCGACAAGCCAGTGGAGCGAGTGGAACTAGTAATGGTGAGGACTCTTGAAAAAATTAAAAAAAATTTGTCCACAGTTTACAGTGATTTAATCAAAATCACAGCATCTGCTCATTTTAATCTCTCAATTTAGCCTAAAAAGATACAAAAAGTAAAAGATACAATTTAGCCTGTGGTAACGCTGGGTATTCATTTGTAAAATTTTTTGCTTACGGATCCGTTCGGACGGTCTTACACTAAAGAATTTAAATAAATAAAACATTTGGTTGAAAAATGCAAGCCTTTGCATATCAATTCGAAAAGCTCAGATTTTCAATCATTTCAATACAAGTCGGATTTAGGAATTACTATGAATGAAAATTTAAACGTCGACATTTTTAGCTGAACAATAACAAAACTGATTGCCCAAATTGATAAAAGTAATGCTTCGATCGCAAAATATCAATTAGCATTGAGTGAAAGAGGAATATCATTGAAAAACAACATGTTTTAATTATTTTTATCTAAAATTACTCTGATAAAGAAATTAAAACATGATTAAAATTAATTTAATGAAATTTCATGTGCTACTTTGTTTTGACAATTGTTTGATGGAATTTTCTCTAACAAGTTTAACTGAGCTTCTTATCCTTTCTTCATCGAAAGAACGGAAAGCTTTCGTTTAATTTTTATCAGCCAGGTCTAACCATTTTTATCTCCTTTAACTGAATTTTAAAATTATAATTCTGTGGAATTTCAAGAGATTAAATATGCTTTCTGCTGTAAAGAAATGAATTTTTATTTAAAGAAAAAAGCAAAAAATGTGTGAAATATTCAAATATTCTAAATAAAATATGAATTAGTTGCATGAAATTTTTCTCGTTGAGATAACGCGAAACATTTAATTTTGCGCGTTAAAAATTAATATATTATTCTTTCTTTCACGTAGAATTTCACAGTATGTGAAGTCAACGAGTTGAATAGCAAATAATCTGCTAAAATCACTAGTTAATTTGTTGTTTGGTGAGTAGTGACTTGGTGATTTTTATCATAAATATGCAAATGGTATAACAAAAATTCGAATTGTTTCATCATCGAGCTCGTTAATCGGTGGAACGATATGACCGACTCACTGCAACAATTCATCCCCTGAAATTCAGATAAGAAAATTTAAGAATTTTGCATCTTATATTTTCATTAATTTTTATAATTAAAAATACTTAAATAGATAATAAAAATAGTTAGAATTTTTAATGAATTTTAAAGCTAATTTTTTAGGGCCATTTATAGTTTTTAAAATTGTTTTAAAAAATTTATTTTCATAAAATTAATTATTTTTGAGAAATATTTAAAGATAAAAACTAACGGGTTTAATTTATTGCATTTTCATCAATTTCACCCTCCTCAATGTTCTTTGTACTATTTTAAAAATTATCATCATATTATTCAATTGTTCGCTTAATATAACATAAAAAAGTAAAGTTATAAAGTAATTAAACTAACTTTTTGTAAATTTGGTGATGTTCTGCTAACAAATCGGAAATGGGCGCTACCATTTTTAGGCATTATTACATCTTCAAGCGCAACGGGTATGAATCTGGATGGCATAAGATAGAGGCTTTTCAAAAATCAGGCTCATTATTTGATTCGGTTCAATTTAGTTTTGTTTCGTTTTAAAATTATAATACACAAATAAAAAATGAAGCAAGAGAGAATGCTCGCATATTGCTTATTCTTCTTCTAATTGCAGGCAGTACTGGTTAAATTGGTTGCATCTGAAATAAGAGCAACAAACCTCAATCGTCCGCTATCATCCTTTGCTTCCTTTATTTTTATTTTTACCTTTTCAAAACACTGTGTTATTTTTAAATCTTCAAATCCTTCATCGCCTTCCGAACATTCTTTATATTTCTAAATTTATAAATAAATGAATAACAATGCCAAAAAAAGATCAGAAAAACAAAAATGCAAATTAAACAATTTTTTTATAATAGGATAATAAACAAAAAAAGAATTTATTTTTAGATTTTTCGACATTTCCAGGTTTTTCCAGGTTTTTATTTTTTATCATTACTATTTCCGATTCTCGTTATTACTTATGATTTGTCATTTGCTATTATCATTATTATCATTTCTCACCATTGCTTCTTTAACAAAAAGTTCTACAGCCTTTCGAGTGAAAACATATCCTGCTCCTCCACTTATATACGAATAAGAAGATTGATATATTTTATATCCGTAAATTGCTGCCTCTGTTTTATCCTTTGTTGCCAAAAAATTTCTAAAATATTAAATCCAAAATCGTATTTCCATTTTTTTTTAAAAGCTTTTAGAAGATCGAGCAAAGTAATAGCGACGTGTTTAATAATAATATCGCGAAACATTAACACCGTAATAAAATGCTAAATTACAACGGAAGAAAATTAAAACTATTATAAAAATAGGTTGAGAATGGGTTTTTATTAAATTAAGACTATCTCAAAGCAGATTATCACCAAAATTAATTCTCTTAACTCTAAAATCGATCTACAGCAAAATAAAAAAAAAAGTGCAAGCTTACCTTAGATTACTGATAATAAAATAAGCATCTGTATCGCCCTTTAGAAACCAATCATAATCCTTTCGATAATTTTTATAAATATGTACCAATGCATTTCTAGTTTTGCCCCATAAGAAATTTTCGCCTTCGGTTGCATTTACGTTAATCACCGGTAATCTTGGGTCATTACTGGAACCGATAAATATATATCTAAAATTCACAAAAATCAAGCGAGCAAAGGTTCCGTTTTAATTAATTAACTAATTAAAGGACCATTGACGAACTTTTAATTTAAATAGCACAATGCAATAATTAGAGACTCATAAATTATTGAAAACTCATACTTATCACAGCGTTTTGCCCATGTTTCTTGTACTGTGTACGCTAAGTCAGTTACGTTTTTGTGAAACGGAATCCAACAAAATAATTTTGCTTCCTCGTTATTAACTAAAGGCAGACAATTGGCTAAAGGAAAATAAGATGAAAATATTTCCGTTCGCATTATTTTACTCGTCAAATGAAAAGTTATATCTTCATTTTTGTTCGTTATATTATGGTTTTAATGAATTAGTCTTAGTTGTTTTTTTTCGAGAACCATATTTAAACAAAACAAAACCAAATTTGCTTATTATTACCAATTATCAGCCAAAATTTGATAAAATCTCCATTATTAACGACAATTACCAATTATTGCGGGTGTTATATGCAATATCAAAATAAACCTCCGTCAGAATTGCTTTCAAATTTCATTATAGCATTTGATAAAGGAATCTTTATAGAATAATCGTATAACATATGTAGGCAGAATCCAGTAACAATTCCTACAAGTAGACACCTTCTTCGATTTGCATTGTTACCTATTGCGCATATACTTGTGACGAATGACATTACTGAAATAAATGTAATAACTTCCATTCAATATACCTTTGCAAATATAGAAAAATTCATTAGTTTGTATAGTTTGATTTCATAAAATCGAACTGCTCAGTTAAGAAGAAACTCAAAAACCCAACCTTATTCGTCTGATAATCATTCTGTGAATGAAAAGTAATTTAGTTTGAAATTTGCTTTTGCTTTTCCTTGCATTTGTAACTATGAAAATACAAATTGAGATAAGATTCTATACTCTGTGGCCTAAGCCTATGCCCAAGCATAACATAGGTAATAGCTAATTTTGTGTGGTCGATTTGGCCCACTGAATTTTGCAACTATGACGGTCATTTAGCTCCAAAAATGCAGTTTCCCCGAAATAAATTCCCTCTTCAAACAAAGAATTTTAGCGTTAAACTTAAGCGTTAAACTTTCTTATGCACGCATTGAAAAAAACAAACAAAACAAAGATGTATGCTATTTTTTAAGGAAGTTCGTACTAATTTCAATAAAAATTAAGGGAGATTAAGTTAAATCTAGCAAATTTTGAATAATTTTATTGTTGATTTACACAGTATGATTTTCAGTATAAATTTTTTTTTCAGGGTTTTTCACCATTTTCCGAAATTGGTTAAACATAGCAAAATCTCGTAAGCGCATCTTTGGCTTTCTTTGAACATAACAAAGAAGATACGCCAAATCTCGAAACATGCGATAATATCAATTGACCCATCGTTTTATTAGCGGATTCTATTCGTTTCGACCACTCATCACTTTATTAAGAAATTTTATTATTATTGTGAAACAGTTTTATATTAATCTGAGAAAAAAGTTGGTCCAATTTACTTAAATGAAAATTCATTCACCAAAAATTTATACAAAAATTCGTAACATAATTTTGGAATTCGTCAAGGAATCAGCGTTATTGCTTCATTTCTTTGCATTATATTGCCAAATTATCAAAATTTACTTCTATGTGTTATTTATCTATGTTCTTTAATATAATAAAATGCCTGACTGGTTGCGAGAGAAACAAATTTGCATTACCACTGATAAATCTCTTTGTCCAATGTTCTATACTATAAAATTTTTAAAAAGTGTACGCATATGTATAAAAGTATACGTGTTAAAAGAAAAAACTCACCTGTGTACTCCACAAAACCTGCCATATTTTGCGAAATCCACCACGGCTCCAATTAAATATTCCCTTAATTATTTGCTACGACAGTAATTTGTTAAGTCTCAATAATTGTTACACCATTACTCGTTAGAAGAGAGGGGGTGGGTGAGGAAAGAAGAAGAGATATTCGATAAAACGAGATTATGCTCCGAAAAGTCTGCTTTGGGGCTATTTGGCTG